TTCATTAGAGAAGAACCCGTCCAGAAGACCTATACTATTTTTTATCTTTTTGATTTTTACCTGGATTACTGAGATGCATCAGGACGTGTACTCAGTCTACCAACACAATTACAAACTATTCATTTTTTATCCATTTCATTAAAAAATAAAACACATTTCATACAATAAAACAATACAAATCAAATAAAACGAAAGGCAGCAGAAGAAGAAAAATTCTTATATCTGCTCCTTTTAAAAAAATATTTCAAACAATAACAAACCAAATAATAAAACAAAACAAAGAAAATTAGCTCCTCAAACAGTACTTAATACAAAACAAACCACTTCATATTTCTTTATCAGTTTTGCTTTGTTTTCTTAAAGGAATTAACTGATCCAATGCTTTTATCATTATTTTCCAGATCATTCCATAGTTTTATATCTTTTACTGAAGTGCATCTGTCCTTCAAATGTGTTCTGATGTTTGCTTTAACAAACATTTGTAATCCTTCAGATTAGAACAGCTTTCCCTCTGAACAAAATGTGACTGGAGGTTTGAAGGGAACATTTCTATGAGCCTTATACAAAACCTGCACAATGTTATAATCAACCAACTCATAAAACTTTAACAACTTTGAAGAAACAATAAATTAGAAGGGTGATAGTTGTGCTTTCTTGTCATAATTCTTATGGCTCTTTTTTGTAAAATAAAAATAGGATTAGTAATGGTTTTACAAGCATTTCCCCAGACTTCTATATCATAAATCAAATGTGGAACAATTATTGCATTATATAGTGTAACTAGTGCTTTATCATTAAATAACTCCCTAACTTTATACAGAACTGCAGTGGATTTGACCATTTTTGTTCCTCAGTAATTTATATGAGGTCTCCATGTCAGTTTTTATCAATGACTCCCAAAAACTTCATTAACTCTACAGATCAACACCATCTGCTCTAAATGGAACATCTGTTGTTTTCTTTCTGTTACTAAATATCATGTAATTTGTTTTATCCAAATTTAATGATAATTTATTATGTTTAAACCAATTTTGTACTTTTACAAATTCCATTTCCTTCATTTCCAGCATCTGTTCTATATTTTTACCCAATCAAAAAAAAGTAGTGTTGTCTGCAAATAAAGCACATTTAAACAACCCCTGATACATTTACTAAGTCATTAATATATTGGAGAAACAACTTTGGTCCCAGTACAGAACCTTGTGGAACCCCACATACAATATTACAAAGTTCAGATCTTACATCAGTAATTTGTACAAACTTTCCTATTGGTTAAATAACTTGATATAAACTAAAGTACCAGATACCATAAATACCATGACTGAGTGTGTGACTGACTATATAAAGCTCTGTGTGGACAACACCATCCCCAGCAGAACTGTGAGATGCTTCCCTAATAACAAACCCTGGATCATCAGTGAGCTAAAGCAACTGTTAAACAAGAAAAAAGAGCCTTTAGGGACTGAAACAGAGTTACTGAGGAGTCTACAG